CGGTCAGGTCGTTGATAAATATGAGGAAGGGTAGTTGTCCTATTATCGACCCTTGAGGGATACCACCAATCGCTTTCCCTCCGCTGGAGACCGTGGATCGTATTTTCACCTTGTGCGTGCGGTCGTAGAGTAGACTGGCCATACAGTTTCATACCTGGGTTGGAGCCCCTGTACCCCTTAATTTATGTAGTAACAGCACGTGGTTAACGGAGTCGAACGCCTTTTGGAAGTCTAGGTAGCAAACTTCGACCGTTTCTCCTTTGTCTAACCTGCTAGTTACTTCGCCTAGAAATACTAAGAGGTTGGTCAGACAGGATCAACACTTGAGGAATCCGTGCTTTGCTCTCGAAAAGAAGTGCACGCCTATTAGGTGCTCTGCTAGTTCATTTTCATACTATCCGCCTCATCGCTTTGAAAACGATGCTGGTTAAGCTAATTGGTCGATAGTTTTCTATATTGGTTGCATCCCCTTTCTTGTGGACGAGGGCGATCGTAACTCTGCGCCAGTCGGCCGGCACTATGCATGTTGACATCGACTGATTGAACAGTGATGTTAAGGGTTCAGTGATTACCGGTGGCAGTGGATTTAACACCGCTGGGTGCAGGTTGTCTGGGCCGGCGGATTTCGTCGGGTTGAGTACGGAGATCACAGATAGGACCTCGCCGTGCTCTATGATAAAACCAGGGCTGCATGGGCCTGCAATATCCACGTTTGTGAGGTTGTTTACGATCGTCCTTACTCGGAAGATTGTCTGGAAGTGGTCTTTAAAAGCGTCTGCAATGCCCTGGTCCGCGTCTAGGGTTGTTGTCCCTAAATGCATAAGCAAGCCTATGGCCTTTCGGGACCTAGCTTGCGATTGGACGTATCTAGAGAACTTTTTTGGCTGTGTTCTAATGTCCCTTGCCAGTTTTATTTCATAATGACTTCGGGCTGATCTCGATATGCTGACTGCCTCGTTTCTTATCCTTGCGTACTGCCGCCAGTTAGCGAATGTTTCTAGCACTGTGTATCTGTGTCAGGCAGCGTTGCGTTTCCGTAACGCCTTACGAACTTTGGCCGTAAACCAGGACTTCAGCATTTGGTTTTTTAACTCTGTCAACGGCGCGTGCCTATCCGTCAATCTGATCATGTTTTGTTTGATGACCTCCCATATTGACTCCGTGGCTGGTGTGCCATCGGTAACCCAACTGAGTTCACGGGCGTCTCTAAAAAGGGCGACGTGGTCGATTTTACCGTATCACCTAACTACCCTACTTCGTGGCGCGGGAACCCTCAGCATAAGGTCGAATAAGATCACGATGTGATCACCTTTTCCTAGTGGATTCCCGCTGACTTGATTTCGGACTTCGCTTTCGTTCCCCGTAATCAATAAATCTAGGGTCGACGGGGTTTGCCCTTCTCTGAATCTGGTTGCCCACGTGATGTGCTAATGAGCCGGCCTTCATGCAACAGTTCTAATAATTGGTTTTCGAAGCCGGGCCGTCGTTGTTTT